CTTATGTGTGGAAATAGCTATTGTACTCCCCAGAGGGTAGGTAGAGTGTTATGAATGGTTGGGGGTAAATTAGCTATTCATACTAGTTCTGTTATTCGGGGCTGAAGTTAGTGATTGAGAACAATTTGTATACACAATTACTGCTTAGCCACGGAATTATAGTAACAATGATATAATTTCGTAGACCGAAATCAATATTTGTGTACAACAGTGACGTTTGAATTTAAGCTTAGTAAAAATTCGTCTTGTTCAACTCTATGTTTAATCAATAAAAGTACAGTTACAATCAATATATACGTACCTGTACAACAGCACTTAAATAAAATCTTCTTAAAATGTAGTTAAATTTACTTTTATAAAAACATGTTATAGTTAGAATGATATAATTTCATTGTACCTATACGACAACATTTGAACAACGTTTGAATTTAAACTTACAGACGTATTAAATATCATATTTAAATGGAGTTATAAAACCCATCTGAATGTACAATCTTTTTCGATCGCTTTTTCACTTTTACCTGTAAATTTATTCTTCTTTAAATGGCCAAAACGTCCAGAAAAATATATGTCCATTACTGTCTGTAGTTTACGCGACTAGCACAAACTTAAATAAAACACTTTAACGGTTTAAAACGCGATATATATTAGTTAAACTTATTTGAAAATTATTGGAGACCACCCGTGACCACGGCTGCTACAAAGCATCCGAAACGTCGGGTTGAACTTGAAAATATTTTTCAAAGAAATTTAACTAATATAATTCGCATTTTAAACCGCTAAAGTGTTTTATTTAAATATGTTAATGTTTAGTGTGTTAGCGATTTTTGTTGTGTTGTATTTGATATCATTGTAATTTACAATTTATTGCATTCTCTGTCATCCTCGTTGGCTTTTACTCATTTATTGTTATTTTGTTTTCCTTTTCTTTATACAAAAGTTGCCTGGAAGAAATCGCTATAGGCGATAAATCCGCCTTTGCACGAACTCTCTATGTAAATAATTAAACTAAATTAAAAAAGTAAATTTAGTTCTACTATATTTGTATTTTATTTGTTTGTGCAATAAAAGCGTTCAATTAATATTAATTTTTTAAATTAACTTGCACCATTATTAAATTCGGTTGAAATGAATGCATAAATACATATAATTTGTTTATGTTAACAATATGTTAAACTTACAAACAGCGATACAACCTTTGCCAGATCAGATAGTTACTAATATGTCTTTGTTTCCATTGCATGAATTAAAAATCATGAAAGTGGACATTGTATGTAAAATTGAAATAATTTGAATGAATGTAAAGAGAAATGTTAAAATGTTTTGCACCTTTCTCAAACCGATTTACTTTGCTCTAAAAGCTATTTGTGTGCCATATATTGGCACGCAAATCCGTTTTTTATATTTTCAATATTTTCCCAGCACAACATGATTTCCTATACTCCAATCTAAATTGAACTACACAGGTGGTAAAAATAACATCTTATTTATTTTTGGCACCTATCAAGGCAAAAAACGTTTTTTTTTTATGTAGACTGTGGTTCTATGAACTTCAATACAAGAGTAGAAAAAACTTTAAAACACTCACGGACAGTCGTTTCATTGAGTACGTTGCTTACGCGAGTCCAAAATTAAATAACAAGAAAAAATATATATTAGTTAACTTATTTACAATGTTATCAAATCAAAAAACTTATTTAGCAATATTACTTGTCCTCCCGTGACCACGACTGCTGCGAAGCATTCGGAACGTCGGGCCGTAGTCAAAATAAAATTGTAAGTTAACATTATTTCGCGTTTTAAACCGTTAAAAGTGTGTTATTTAAAAGCATTTTCATTTTACAAAGTCTTAGACTATAAAGGCATATACAAAAATAATTTAAATTACGCCGATGCCATAGATTGTTTGTTAGTCCAAAGATAAAACAGGTCTTGAAACTAACCCAATATCGTTTCGTTCGGACGGGACACAGTAACACTAAATAATTGCTTCTAAATAAAATAGATTTCCTAACACCCATCTCAGTTATTTTCTCATGTACCTCAGGTTGCCTAGAAGAGATCGCTGTTTAGCGATTAGGCCGCCTTTTATTTATAAGTGAGACCGTAAGATTTTCTCAGTTATATGTTTTTTTTCTTGAAAGTTTTATAAATAATAAAGCTATAATAAATAAATAGATCAGTAGAACAGACACTCAAATATGTTCGCCCCAGGCTCGACAGGAGGAACCGGGATTCACCGTTTTTTTAAGTTCGAAGAACGTCATTTACAAAGCTCTATTTTCTTTTGTCTCACAAACTCGCTGGGCGCACGTGAATAAGGTACAATCTGAAATCCAAAGAGCCGTGTAAAGTGACGGCTCAAAGTATTGAGGATGCCATCATTCTCGCTATCCTTTTTAAGTCCTTGTTCGGAGTGCTCGAAATTTCATTTGGTTTATGCCTTTACTCTCCATATTGTGACTTTCCTGCGAGGCACACGTTTTTATGATAGATATATCACTTCATTTAAGATGAAATAACATCTCGATAAGATGCGATGCCGACTTATTTCGGCTTTGTATATTCGGACTGTAATCGAAACTCGATTAAACTTGACGGCTTTTTAATCTGTGGATAGATTTTGACATTTGTACCACCCATCTAATATCGAGATTACCAGACGAAGTCCAAGAGGTTTCAGAGAAGTTGTAAATCGATTAGAAATATATTAGACTCGGTGGGGATCGAATCTATGACCCGTTGATTATAAGCCATAAATAGCTACCATTACACCAACGAGGTCATTAAAACATTTAAATAAAACACTTTAACGGTTTAAAACGCGATATATTAGTTAAACTTATTTGGAAATACACACGGCAACACACGGCAGCAGCCGTGGTCATGTAATCACGGCTGCTGCAAAGCATCCGAAACGTCGGGCCGAAGTTAAAAATAATTTCCAAATAAGTTTAACTAATATATCGCGTTTTAAACCGTTAAAGTGTTTTATTTAAATGTTTACTACTCGCGTAAACTAAAGACAGTATATAACATTAAAACAATTAGAATATTGTCCTTGGAATTTATCGAATAAAAACAAGACTACATCCACAGCGCTCCGTGCTGTTGTTCTAACCAATTGAGCTACCGTGTTGTGGATGCTAGTTCAAGTCATATAAATCATGAATTTTTGTTACTAGGCCACTCTACAGCTAGCAACCTCATATATACACGCGTATTTGGTAATTACATAAGTATTACTTTTAATTTCGTTTCCCGAATCTTACAATTTAATTTTCCAAATCACATCTTATTGATTAATGTTACAGACGTGTCTGACCTCATTAAGAGGGCCTCAACGATCCACGCGAAAATAAGACAATTCCGTTTGGAACAATGCGTGAAATTCTATGCCAAAGCTCTTATAACAGTTTGAAAGTAAGAAAAAAGATGGCGCTTTTGACTTTGGCATTAGGGACACCGTCCATCGTCATCTCTTCGTGACCACGGCTGCAAAGCTTCCAAAATATCGTGCCGTAGTTCGAATTAACGAAAAATAAGTAATAAATATGCTGGCTATAGTTTACGCGAGTAGTACACATTGTTAAATTCGCTTTGCAGCAGCCGTGGTCACGGGGAGACTGAAGTTAAAAATCATTTTCAAATAAGTTTAACTAATATATCGCGTTTTAAACCGTTAAAGTATTTTATTTAAATGTGTACTAGTCGCGTAAACTACAGACAGTGTTTAAAGTAATCACATTTCAGAATCCTGAAGGATGATGTCCCGGTGGCTGGTGTTCTGCTGCGTGGTGCTGCTCGCGCGGCCGGCGCACCAGCAGGGCGCCCAGCAGTGTCCAGCGCCGAACACGATCACCCCTTGCACTTGTACCGTCAAGAAGAACGGCCTGGATATCCTCTGCGAGTTCACTGAACAGCAGCACATACAAAAGGTACAGTCGTTGAGAAAACATTTACGAGTATATTGTGTTTTATTAATTAATTAAGTAATTACCTTTTGTGTTTCATCCAAAAAAATCAGTTTTTCAGGAAGTGACATATTTTGAATCGTGATAGACAGTTAAAAGAGATAAGACAATGATATTTAAAGAAAACACTTTTAACGGTTTAAAACGCGACATGTATTACTTAAATTATTTACAATTTATTTAACTACGGTCCGACGTTTACGGCTCGATGGTAAAATCTAACAAAAAAAACGCTTATACGTATATAATAACGTATAAAAATTAAAAGCTTATGACATGTGTGACCACGGCTGCTGAAAATCATCGCAAACGTCGGGCCGTAAATAAAATAATGTGTAAATAACTTAACAATTATTATATTTCACGATCTAAACCGTGTCTGTTATAAATTATGTCTTGAAATAGATTTATGGGTTGTTAATAACTCCAATGTATTTACAAATTTTTTATCGTGCTGAAATAATGTCAATAGATATTCATTCCCATTTATTGTAAATTGTGATGACATTTTCTGTGTCTTACATATCAATTTTATTGAAAGACAGACAGCTGACCTTTACAGATAACAAAGACACACGCCACCTCTTCTCGTGGTACCTTTAGCTAAAACGAACTTAATGGCAAAAGCACAATGCACGAGGCCTTCCCAGGTCCTCAGTTTATTACACAAAAAACAGATATTTTATACTGTCCTTGGTGTAAACGCACAAATACATTAATTTTTATTTTGAGTTACGAAAGATTTTTTGAGTTTTTGTACTTTAGTTCTATTATATATGTATTGTTTAGTTTTTTAAGATCTCCGTCACATTGGATTCCATCTGTTATGACAGTGCATATATGTAAATATTAAATAAATAAATAAAATGAGACAGTGCTCTGCCCGACTGAACTGTTCTTATTCCTCGGGTTTCGAACTAGGATCTCTTGCGCTCAATCTATTAAATATTGATGAAAATTATTAGCGACTTAATCCCACAACTTTCACATTAATAAGTTTCTAATGATGTGTGTCTCTTCCAGGCAATGAACACGCTACGTTCGAAGCCAATGATTATATTTTACCTGAAACTTCGTCACAACAATTTGGCAAAACTACCCTCATACATATTCCTTGGCTTGGACATTCGACATTTGACGGTACACAACAGTACCTTGGCTGTAATCGAGGATTCATCTTTGAGTTCAATAGGTGAGATTTGGCTATGTTTAGAGATAAAGAATTATCAGCCAGGATTAAGCCAAGTTTGTTTTACGAATATTTTTATTAATTAGAGCTGTATTTTTACACTAAGAAATTCATATAAAGGAAATAACACTTCAATGTTAATCTAAACATATACTTATATATTACACCTACTTAGGTGTTGTTATAAGTTACTAGATTATTACAATAATGATTTTAAATATTCTTTTAGCCTATTTTTCCACAAGTTAAGGAAAATATATTTTTGTAATAATAGAGCATTAAAAAAGAAATATCTGTGGTATTGTCTGTAGTGGAACACATTTAAATAAAACACTTTATAACTGTTTGAAACACGATATAAACTAGTTAATTTAGTCACAATTTACTTTTCCAACGGTCCGCTGTTTCGGAAGCTTTACAGCCGTGGTCATAGGTTCATTAATATATTTCGCGTTAAACTGTTAAAAAGTGATTTATTTAAATTATGAGTTTGTCAGTAATTCTTACTCCAAATAATGATTATTTTTCTTTTTAAACAAAAAATTTATTAAATACCGCTGTTAGCACTGGCTAGTTTAAAACGATGAAGCGTTCCGAATTTAGAAGGGAAGAAATAATTATTTCAATTACGCGCAATTAAGAATTTCGAGAGTCGTATCGAAGTTGGTAATGGCTAAGTTACGACGGTTATTTCAAAATGGATTCCAAATTTACAGTGAAATAATGAAAAATATTTTCCAGGCAACAAATTGACTCAGCTGGACGTTTCGCAAAATAAGTTGGCGACGATACCGACATCCTCCTTCACGCATTTGAACCATCTGTTGATTCTCAACATGAATCATAATAAGGTAAAATACTAAATTTTCATTTCATTGTTAACAATTATCGATTTCATAATATAAATATTATATTAATTTGCAGCATAGTAATGCTTCAAGACTGATTTTCTTCAAAATCGTCTGTTAGACAGCGGACAAACTAACGTTTACGTTATAATGAGTAATTACAGTCATTTACAAACTCATTTGCTCTTGTGGCATAGGTATGACAGACATATTACTGTGTCTGTTACTGATCAACTTCTTTTACAGACCAGACCATAATTATATGTTCTACTCGACAGAAAGTCATTCTCTTTCTCGTATCTCTTAATATTAAACTATTATATCCCGGGCTCGAATCCAACGTCTACACAATCGGTCACAGGACAAACAGGACAGCTGAATCAGACGTTATCAGAATTGATGTTCTGTCTCAAGTTGGTCCCGCGAGACTTCACAAATAAATAATCACAAATTTTATCCAGGTCACCGCCGTGCATAACAAAGCGTTTTTAGGCCTCGACACCTTGGAGATTCTAACCCTTTACGAGAATCGAATATCGGTCGTCGACGGCGAGGCTTTCAAGGGATTAGAAAAGTAAGTATTGATTTGTAGATTAGCATTATTTATTCAAAGGACATTTCCCTGGTCCACCCAAATTAATATTGATTAGAGAAAAACAAAGCAGAAAAGTGATGAATTCTTAATTTAAATTCAAGCTTTTAAACCATAAAGTGTAAGGTTTTCGGGGTCCTTTGTTAAAACTTTTATGGTTTTCAAATCGTTGCGTTCGGCCGTCGGAATTGAGAACTCTTTTCGACGTTTCGCCGTTAAATACGACGGCCAAAATTCAAAGGACCCAAATCTTTGAACCATTTCTTAAACCAAATCGTTAACCTTTAAAAAAGGCTCGTTGGTCTAATACCAATAAACGTGGGTTCGATCCTCGCTAAGTCCAACATCTTTCTCATAAATTTATAACTTTTCCAAAACTCCGTTTCTTCGTTCTTGACTTCGTTTGGAAAACTGGATCATAAATGGTAGGGCCGCATTTAAAATAAATGCTTAATAGTTAACTAATACACTTCGCGTTATAAGCCGTTAACGGCGTTTTATTTAAATGTGCAATACTCTTGTAAATTACAGACAGTAATAAGTACTTAAATATCTAAGATAACGAGATTACTAAGATAAAGTATGATTGAGGGACAGAGACAGTGATTTATTTGTGTCATAAACAAAAGGTAATATTATTATGAGAAACAGATGCCAGTTAGGCTCGTTCTATCCTCTATCAAGAATATTAATATATTTTATTACACTCTATGGCGTATTAAATACGTATATATTTTAATGTAGTCTAGTATAACATACATTACTTTTAAGTAAATAGTTTGTTAAGGATCCATTTAAACTATATGAATAAGAAGTATTATCTGAAGTTTACGCGAGTAGAACACAGATATATTTAAATTTTAATTTTTATTGAATTTTATTGGTATTTGATTGGTTTTTAATGAATAAATAAAAACAAAAAGATTTATCGGTTTAAAGTGGGAAATAAAATAACTAATTTATTTTTATATCAATAATAAATCTAGTTTAGAAACGTTGGTTAGCAGAAATAAATTAAAAAAAAATTAATTTAATTGGCGTTTTAATCCGTCACATGTTTTACTAAATATTATATTTATGGTCGGTTTATCTATGAACTTATTTTATTTCGACGGTTTCGTTGGTCTAATGACAGCATTATATGGTCAATAAACTGGTCGCGGGTTTGATTCCCGCCTAAGTGTAACTGAAATCAATTTAAAAGTTTTCTCAAACATTTTGATGGATTTTGATTGTCCTGATAGATAATCTGGTACATTTGCGTTTCAGTTATTTTATTTTTATTTATTTATTTACTAAGGAAACTAAACAGTACAGTCTCTTATGATAACTTATAACCAACTTTCTTATTGTCTAGGGAAAAAAATAAAATTTTATAAAAAATCCAAATGCATGCAGGAATGTACTCAGAGACAGTACCTTAACAAGTTTCTCTAAGAACATTTGATTAAAAAATTAAAAAAACAGTATGACAGATGACAAAAACCGTATTCTTTTATACTTAGATATGTGTGATATCTTTACAGGTTACGTACTTTTTGAACTTATATTTATACGTTAATTGCGAGCACAAAAATAAATCAACATCATTCAACGCGTTATTATGCAATGAAACCATATTGTGGAGGGGGGCACGTTTACCAGTGTTACCTCTAGTCGTTGGTACATAGAATAAGTTTTTGGTACGCGTAGATCGAGCGGGGATGAGGAAGTAAATTTTCAAAGGATATTTTATTTAGAAGATACCTTCTTATTCGAAAAAGGGGAAACCCGTGCTTGATCAACTCTTTTATAAAAAGAAATTAGACAGACGGAAATAGAATCCACGACCACAGCGCAGCGCACCGTCACACACTAATAGTCCGGTTCGCTACAGTCGTAGCTTTTGAGTCACAATTGTGTTACTTTCAAATTTCACACGTATATACTGTCTGACGCGTACTTTAAGATTGTTACTACAACTTAAGGAAACACAATATTGTAGCGCCCTATAACCTGTAAAAGTTTTAAACAAATGAAAGATTTCATTAAAACTTCTCACCAACTAACTATTATTTCTGTACTCGCTCTGCAGGTGTTTCTTTACGTATATAAAATTATGTAACTTAAACAATAGCGTGAGGTGCTTTTACTTTGTTACTAGATTACTTGATGGAAGATGAAGAAACCCAGCCATATAAAGACTAAACAAGATTTGTCGTTTATTATCGCTTTGGGAAACGGAAACGCGATTAAACTTCATGGCTTTTCATCTGTAGACGGTAGTTCGTGACCTCGACGGAATTTTCGATTCCCAGTTCTTCAGACGTCCCCTTGGTTATAAGCCATACTTTGCTACCTACATTACTATTTGTTTTATAATTATTTTTGTTAGTTTATTCTTACTTATTTAAACTTATACAAAATAGCTTTATATAATGCGTAGTATTTGCCTAAACAAGGGAAAATAGCGGAAGAGGTCTTGGGTTCGAACTTCTTGTAAAAAGCAAGGGACACAGAAATTGCCCAAAAATATTTCTTAAAAAATCGACTTAATCTTATATATATATATATATATATATATGTTTTACGTGTTGAAGTAAATAATTGAATACTGTCTATAGTTTACGCGAGTAGTACACATTTAAATAAAACACTTTAACGGTTTTAAACGCGATATATTAGTTAAACTTATTTATAACTTCGGCGTGACGTTTCGGATGCTTTGCAGCAGCCGTGACCACGGCTAAATTTATTTAAATGAATAATTGAATTTGTATTATAATTAAGATATACATATGTTCATTTTGTGTGTTTTATTAAAGAATTTGTTCAAGAAGTATTACCACAATTTAATACAAAGTTGTGTTCCAATAGTACTGTATACCTTCTGCTAAATGATCCTTTGGGAACAAAATACTGAAGTTCTCGTGATGAGGACGTACACAATTATTCGGTTCAACGTGATATATGCTTCACAGGAAACTGAAGCGACTGAACTTGGGCGGGAACGAACTTACAGCGGTGCCGCAAAAGGCCCTCGCTCTACTCGAGAATTTGAAGAAACTGGAGATGCAGGAAAATCGAATTACCTCCATTTCAGAAGGAGATTTCGCAGGTAACAACATTTCCTTTGTTTCACGATATCGTTTTTCCATTCTGCGTATTGGGCGGACGAATCCTAAGTGACTTGGAATATGTAAATAATGTCTTGAAAGTTTGTTTTTGTATTCTTAGTATTCTATTATTCAGTATATTGATATTACTTCTTTTAATAAACGAATAAATTTATTATCGGCATCTGTAAGTATAGTCTGTAGTATAAGCGAGTGGTAAAAATTTAAATAAAACATATTTAACGGACTAGAACGCGGAATTTATCAGTCAATAGATTTCGCGTTTTAAACCGTTGTAAGTGTATTATTTAAACATTATCTGTAATCCAATATTGATTCCTGTTTCATTTCGTTTTGACGCGCTTATTGGTTAAATAACGGCGATGTATTGCTAATTATCAAAGGGATTCGATTCACACTCGAACCAACGTAATTTTAATCAATTTTATTATTTTTTAAATATTTTGTCTGATATTTCTATATTAAACGGCAGGATGGAATCTAGATCCAAGTAACCACCGTCCACAGATAAAAAAGCCTTAAAATTGCCTTCAAACCGTTTAATAGCCTCTTGGTTTTAGTCTGGATTTCCGAATACCCAAAACCAAATAGGTCGATAGCGCATCATACTTAGATATATAAGTATGGTGTTTCAACTGCCATGAATGCCATGTCCCATGCTTATCTTCTCTATCACTAAAATAGTCCAACATGTTACAGAAGAATTACACTTTGTTTAGAAACATGTTAAATCCGGTGGGACTCGAACCCGCAACTCACTGATTATTAGCCACACCCTGTTACCACTACACCAAGGTGGCAACGCATCAGTAGTCATTTCAACCAATCAAATCAATAGTGGTGGATCTCATACTATCCCAATAGACTTAATTATTTGGATATTTAAAATAATAACCCATGTTTGTGAAAATTGCCATATAAACGAGGGCTCGCGTGCTTCATTTAACAATGTTCACTAGGAAAGTATTTATTTGATAAAATTTTGCATGTTGTAATGTCGTGTACGCGGCTATCTCATTCACAATCAAAGTTAATTGTATGGCCTAACATTCAGCAGTTATATAACTATTTCCATGTATTTAGTAGTTAATTTCCACTGTAAATTAAAACGTTTAATATTCCACGTTTAACGGTAATGGAATGAGAATTGGTAGCAATTAAGACGGGCTATTTTGTTAACTGTGATATATTCAACCTAAAAAAAAGATGTTCGGACATTTATATATTTATAATTAGTCATTACCAGACGAAGCGGTTTATATATATTTAGCTCTGGTAAACAGCATTAATATTAAAAACTAATTCTACAATACTTTTGATTTAATTTGCTTGTTGGTTTGGTGTACGTAGGTATTTCAAGCAATGGTGGTGTGATGGATGGTAAAAACACAGTATATGTGCACTAAGGCAAAGTAAAATTGACTGGTTAGACCAGTCAATTTTACTTTTATATATTACACTAAATCAAAAAGACTCTGCAATGTGGGAAAATCTAAATATTAAATGGATTGTAGGAATGTTACACTGAATATAATAAATGATAGTGATTATAATTAATATTATGTATATGTATGTTTAAATAAAACACTTTAACGGTCTAAAACGCGATATATTAGTTAAACTTATTTGAAAATGATTTTGAACTTTGGCCCGACGTTTCGGATGCTGTGCAGCGTGGGCACGTGTTTTATTTAAATGTGTACTACTCGCGTAAACTATAGACTATAAACTATAGATATATAAGTCGACTTAATTATATAAACTGATTTACTACACTCTTCTCCTTCTATACCCGGGCCAGGCTGAAAACCTGGCGTTCAGTGAGAAGCATTCGGCAGCACAGCTACCGATTGCCATTCCTTATGTATTTATTATTACTATATATTTTTCATTAACCCAATTTAATTAGTTTACTGTAAATATCTGAATGGCAATAAAAAGTTTTGAATTTGAATTACGAAAATCCCCCCCGCCCCCCGGGTCACGAACCACCGACCACAGATACAAAAGCCGTAAAGTTTAATCGCGTTTCGGTTTCGGTAGATTTCCAAATAACTAAAGCCAAAATAAGATAAGATGTTGGAAGACTGGGATATTTTACCTGTTGTATAGTAGAAAAAATGGAGGAAGTCCTTGTCTATAACATGTCATATAGACAATTATATTGTCCCACATACTAGGGTTAAATAAACAATAACTTATAATTTGGAAACCTTTTATTAATTTTTACATGTTATTGCACATGAAGGTACTATATAATTCAAAAATCGAAAATAAAGAATCGAAATTAAGCTGCAAAGCATAAGACATTGAACCTTAATACGCAAGTGTTAAGGTTGAAGTTACATTGCGCGAGAGGTGCATGTATCAGCAAGTTGAAAAAATTCGACGATGAGGTGTAGGACTCGGTAGCTCAATTGGTAGAGCAACATACGGACTAAAATATACAAATTTCAAATCTTTGATTGTTTAAAAAAAATTTAAGATATATCTCTTCTTTATCAATATTAAAAACTTGATTCATTTCTAAATATTGCTTTTAAAAAAATTATTATTTTTTAATCTACAAACAAGGATTTTAAAAATAGAAATAATGAAAAAGTGTAGACTCGGGTAGGACTTGAACCGGCATCGTCATCAACGGAGCAACAGCACGGAACGCTGACGATGCCGGTTCAAGTCCTGCCCGAGTCGAAAATTTTTTCAATTTATTTTCGATTTTTAACTTATAATTTAATAAATATAAACTTTAATATGTTCATAGGATTAAGGAGTCTAGACTCCCTGGGATTGGCTCACAACCAGCTTCGGGATGTACCAGCTCAGGTGTTCTCTCATCTGAATTTCCTCAACTCCTTGGAACTCGAAGGCAATCTGATACAGCGTATTGATGAGAAGGCCTTCGTTGGGCTTGAAGGTAAGAGAAAACTTTATTTCCATTTTTTAAGTAAAGATACTTATTATTTATTATTAATTAGTAGTACAAAATATAACGAGTTTAAACAATTTTAGGTGCAGACACGTATTATACTAGCATTGATTACAAATAAGATTACTTCAAACTTTTAAACAACATCGCGTTCGCATGATTAGAAATCGATTTAAACGACAACTTTGGCTTCTATGAATAAAAAATTAATAAGCTTCCCTTTTTTTGTTTCCTCATCGAAACAGATATGAATAATACTATTTGTAATTTACGCGAGTAGTACATTATTAAATAAATACATTATAAAAATAATTAAACGATTTAAAACGTGATATATATTAGTTAAACTTGTTTGGAAATTTGTTGAAATAAGGCCCCACGTTTCAGGCGCTTTGCGGCAGCTGTGGTCACGGGGTCAAGTTGATTTAAAATTATTAAGAGTATTTCTAAGTAGTACTTTGCTCAAAGTTAAACTTGAATAAAAGTTGACTGAACTTAAAGCTTAAACTATCTTTAAACAAAGAAATTTTATAGTGGACGGTCAGCCTTACCTACGGACTGTACTAATACTTTTGTGGTATGGATTTACCTCTTACAGGACTATAAGATGGCTGAGACTAAATATGCCAATATAATAACGTATTAAAGCCATTTAGGGTGGTTAAGAGAATATCTCTAGAAAAACATGGCTGGCGGGCGATTTCCGATAATTTCATACGTTTTATTTTGCCATTCATTAGAAAAAAATATCGAATAAAATAGACAAACAATTTTGGTAGAAGGGAAAATATTTCCCTTTAACGTGAAAGGGTTAACAGACGGCATTTTACTTTTATACAGAAAACCTGCAATACCTACGACTGGGCGACAATCGTCTCCACGAGATACCGTCTGAAGCCTTGCGCCCTCTCCACAGACTTCGCCATCTTGATTTAAGATCTAACAACATCACTTACATAAGCGAAGACGCGTTCACGGGCTACGGAGATTCTATCACTTTCCTCAATCTACAGAAGAACATGTAAGTAAAATAGACTAAAATATGTAGACTACAAATAAACAAAATTTAACGGTTTAGTTAACGTATTAGTTAGCTTATTTAGTTACTTTTGAAAACTTTAATAGTTTTCACTATATTAATAAAAAATCAATTGTAAATTGAAAAAAAATTGGTTCTGGCAGGATTTTATCAAGGCGAAATGTATCAATAAATTGAAAAAAAATCGTAAAAGCGGTAGCTCAATTGGTTAGAGCAACATCACGGAACGTTACGGATGCTGGTTCAAGTCCTGTCCGTGTCGTAATTTTTTAAAATGTAATTAATAATCGATATTTAATTTTTTTGTTACGATTTATTTTAACTACTGTTCGACGTTATAATTTATGATTTCTGCATTAGATTGTCAGAAATAAGGCACAATTAAGTATCAGAGAGAATTGACTTATCGATAACTAGTTTATTACCCAAAACGTAATAAAACTGATATTTCTTGTAAAACAATTTTAAGGGCCAATTCCTAAGTACACGAGAGTTTTCTCACCGAATTGTACTTATTCAATAAAAATACATATATACGATTAAACATTTAAATAAAACACTTTAACGGTTTAAAACGCGATAATTTAGTTAACGTAACTAAAATATATCGCGTTGTAAACCGTTAAAGTGTTTTAATTAAATGTGTAATACTCGCGTAAAGTACAGACGATTAAGAGCGAGGCCCCATTAGTGCGTTGCGCTGCGTTACGTCGCGTCATCGCAACGGAACAACGCATTGTATGCCACACCTGTGTTGCGTTGACGCTGCGCCAACGCAACGCAAGCGGGCATGCACGTCGACGCAGTTGCGTCTCAGTTCAGCCTTTGCAATGGATAGATACAAACGTGTTCTTTTGTTGCTTTTATTACGGCACCGCCGAAATAAACGTAGAAATCATAGAAGATTCTGGATATCTCCTTTGATAGCATTAAGAAATAGTGATGGTCAGTTTTTTATGCAGGAATATAGGGAGTTGTTATTAGATGAAAAGACTTTTTTCAATTATTTCGAATGAGTGTGGCCAGCTTTAATAATTTGGTTGAAACCTTAAAACCACATATACAAAAGCAGTATACCAAATTCAGGAACCCTTTAGAACCAATTGAAATGATTGGTATTACATTGAGGTAAGTAATTCAAATATCATAATACTCGTAATGTTAATCAGTTATTAATTTATTATCTTTAACAACAGTTTAATTTAAGTGTTACTATTAGACAACAAAGCAAAGTTATAATCTTCTTCTTGACTATCATCAGTAAAATTATTAATCGTAGTGTTGGTTGAATAGGTAGCTTCGAATTCGTCTGTTCGATACGACGATGGCGATGGTGACTGGGCATGTTGTCCAGTTTGATATCCGCGTGACTGCAATGGTGTTGCTTGATACTGTTGTCCAGTTTGATATCCGCGTGATTGAAATGTTGTTGATTGAGTCTGTTCCCCGAACCGAATTTCGGTAATGATATTTATAACTTTGCTTTGGAACGTCAAAGTTTGTAATTCCGTAAAGCTGTCCAAAGAAGGCAAAATTCCTTTGAAAAATGATAAGTGGCGGTTTTCTTTCTCTTGCAACGCTTCTAAAGCTTGCGCCTCGAAATCATCTATTGCTTGGTTTGATCTCTTACGGCTTGCAGGCACGTAGCGAGAAGGACCTGGGGGTAACGAGGACATTTCTTTTGTAGGAAATGGAGAAATGATAATGTGTTTTCATTTCGTTCCGTTTCTTCAGACACCATTTCAAGGCTACTGTCAGTTTTATTTTGGGCAACTTTCATCAAAAACAGCAACTGATGATAATAATGATATTTTTTCAATTGTTTTGCCCCTGATCCAGACGAACTGTTTTCTTTTATTTTTTTTACGTATCGAAAAAAGTTGTCCTTCACGCTTCTCCATTTTTTCACAACCTCGTTACCTGCAAAGAAAGAAAAAAATGTGTAAGTACCTAACTTGTCTACACTGACCAATCTAAATGGGCCACCCTGTTTATTTTTTGTGTTTCTATTTCAGGTACTTAGGCAGCGGAAATTCGATAAACGATTTGCATTTCAAATTTAAACGTGGAAGAGCAACAATTTCCAGAACTATTTCGTCAGTTTGTCAAGCTATATGGAAATATGTTCGACCACAGTACTTAGAAGAGATCACAGTAGAAAAACTACAAAATATTGCATTAGATTTTGATCTCAAAGCTAACTTTCCTCATTGCTTTGGGGCAATTGATGGGAAACATATACGTTTAATAAAACCAGACAAAAGTGGCTCTTTGTTTTATAATTATAAAAATTATTTTTCAATTGTTTTGCTGGCGGTTGTTGACTCAAATTATAAGTTTGTTTTTTTCGACGTGGGTGCATATGGTAAGGAAAGTGATTCTACTATTTTTAGAAATTCGACACTGTACAAGCTTTTAATGAGAAATGAATTACCATTGCCTGATCCACAACCACTTGGAAATGATCATAATAACGAGCCACCAATCCCTTATGTACTCGTCGGTGATGAAGCTTTTGGTTTAAGTAAGCATGTTATGCGCCCATACGGCGGATCCAATCTCAATGTGAAACAAAGAGTTTATAATTATCGCCTTAGCAGAGCTCGTAGATACGTGGAATGTGCATTTGGGATCATGGCAAATAAATGGCGCATTTTACATAGGCCAATTGATACGTCATATGATTTAACTATTAATATTGCGAAAGCATGTTGTGTTTTACACAATTTTGTTATACAACACGATGGGTTAAAACAACAAGACAATATGGCAATAAGTAGGTTCCCACAATTGAGACCCCATAGCAGTGAAGAATCATTAGCCGAAAATTTTATCAGAGATCAATTTGCTAATTACTTTATGAGTCCAGAAGGGGCTTTACCATGGCAGTTGAAAAAGATATAAATTAACTTATGTATTGAATTTAAAAATAATATAACAAATACCAACTCACCAATCTTGTTCTTTTTTTGGTCCTCAAACTCGTCGTAATCTTGAAATACTTTTTTACAAACAGCTACCCATTCATTCGCTTTACGAAATTTATCACTGTAATGTTCGTGTGATTTATCCCATATAATGGGTCTTTCTTGGACCAAGGATATGAGAAAATCTATATCAATATTCTGCTCACTCATGGTAAGATAAAAAATGTCGTTACGCTCGTCTAGCTTCCTCCTCTAGCAGTGCATCACTGTCCGTCGTCGCAGCGGAGCTCCGACAACGCAGCGCATCACCCCCCTCCCGCTTCGTCTCTTGTCCGTCGATCCGTTGAAACTACGCGCGCGACGACGCAACGGTCTAATGGGGCATGTTATATAAAATGTATGGAAAACGACGCAGCGACGACGCTGCGACGACGCAACGCGGCGCAACGCACTAATGGGGCCTCGCTCTAAGATAACTTTATTTCATGCTATTAAAACTTAATTTTAATACCTAAGTTATATCTTCAGTATTTACCATTACTAAATATTGATTTTAGTTTTCCCTGTAGAATTGAACCGCTCGCTCGTCGCTTTTAATACAATTTGAACCGCTACGGACCAACGAGCTCGTCAGAACGGAAATCGTAGCACGCGCTACGACTGCTACGAAGTTAGTTCGTTATTATTTCTGTCTATTAACTCTCGTAGCGGTCTTTCAGTTGTTAGTAATATTATTAATTCCTTCTATTCAAGGAATAATTGACAGCAATTGGTGAACATTTTCTCACTGAAGTAAATTTCTAAAATTGTAACCTACACTAATATTATTAATAGGTAGATTTGTAAATTGTAAGGCTAAACACCGTCTATAGTTTACGCGAGTAGTACACATTAAAATAAAACACTTTAACGGTTTAAAACGCTATATATTAGTTGAAATTATTTGAAAATGATTTTTAACTGCAGCAGCAGTGTCTCCCCGTGACCACGGCTGCTGCAAAGCATCCGAAACGTCGGGCCAAAGTTAAAAATCATTTTCAAATAAGTTTAACTAATATATCGCGTTTTAAACCTTTAAAGTTTAATTGTAAGGCTTTCACGGCCAACATATCATTGTTTTGGCATAAGATAGAAGTGGTTTTTGACGTTTCGGCATCAAGAGCGAACGGCATCATCAGGAGATGTTATTAGCTCCTCGATTGCTCGAAGAATCAACATCTCGTGATGAAGCCGTCCGCTCGTGATGGCGGAACGTCGGCCAAACAGCTCGAAAAAATATATATCCAGGTAGATTTGTCACGGTGTCAAGGTCGTGTTGGTTAATTTTCTTTATATAAGATATTCCTTTTTTATATATTCAGTTCTTTATCATCTTCTGCCAAAAAGTTAACTGGTTCTAAATCTCAGAATAGACACAGTCTTATACGGAAATTTACGAATGCATCTGATAACATTGTATGTTGAATTGAAATGAGATAGCAACTGAAAAGTTATTTATACATGTTATTGCACATGATGGCACTAAATTTTACGACACGGGCAGTCTCAGCTTGAACCGGCAACCCTCAGGCCGACTCTCTACCGAGAGATAACAACCTAAACTAAAAATATGACTCGGATTAAGTTAAAATTTAGTTTATTATAAACATTGATGTATCAAATAACATAGTCCACTTCCCTTGTATCGATTTGTTTGAAGTTACGCGACGAAATATCGTTGTTAATTACGAAAATCCCGTCTGAATTAATCATAGGGCATTAGCTACGTACACTGTAATTTAGGTCAAGTATCGTTAATATTTAAGTAGGAGTGTCGTTTTGTTACAATTTAAAGCATTTGACACCGCGTTATAATGTCTACAACATCCAAATACTGTAAAAATACAATGCTAAATTTGACGAGAATATTATGAAAATAAAATTACAGCTTTAAATAAACCAATAAACAAATATGTTTTGTAACTATATGGAGAATTAGTTAAGTATATAGTATTTCAAAATAATATATTGTAAGATAACTAGAACATCAATTATATTTAAATATAAAACTATAGCAATGTTGCCCTACGTTATGCGATGTAACGCAAAGTAAGTAAGCGCAACCTTTACAAGATACATTAGAGATAAGAAGCGAATGCGCCGTCCTATTAATAGAACTTGCGAAAAAGTTTTGATATCCTACAAATAAGAATTAAGCATACTTCATAGTTTCTCTGTGAGTGATTTTGTAAATTTTACCATAAACCATAAAAGCTTCGTGAAATAACACAGCACATATAGATATATCCGATGTACATTCGACCCCAGCACAGCGTTATCTTGGGCAAAGATTAATTTCGTCGTAAATCGTCGGGTTTGATTAATTCGGGGTGAATCAACTTGTGCCATCTTTTGTTTGTCTGCCGGGGTCTCGAGTTTGCTTCCTTAATTGAGACGTATTATTCAGCTCAATCGATAACGGTTTAAGCCATTTTGAATTGATTGGGGCTTGCAATAACTCTTAATGGATTAAAACTGGGATATATTAGTTAACATATTTCACCTTGTCTACTTTAAAAAGTAAATTTCGCGTTTTAAACCGTTTAAAGTGTTTTATTTGAATGTCCTCGCGTAAATTAGCGGTTTGATAAGAGATGATGGGTTTAAAACGTGAAATGTATAAGTAATTTTCCCTTAAAAATAGTTCAACTAACACATGTCACATTTGAAACCGTTAATAGTGTTTTATTTAAATATACATTTGATAACTAATTACGAACAACACGAAGCTGAACTTTTAATAAAATCTTTTACCATAGCGAGTTCCAGAAAATAATTAGCATTCTAGCAATTTCATAGAAGTAATTAATTATACAGCGCGGTAATTTTCATGCCAAAGAAAATGGTTGGTAAAATTTTGCATTCACTTGTTCCCTAATAAACGATTTTTCTTTCTTTCGTGTTCTTTTTTAATTCCAAAACGACAACGAAATGCAAACTGTTCAAAATGTATGGCCAATAAGCAACAGATCGTAAGTTTGATTACCACAGGGTCCAAAAAATTACACATTTATTACTAAGATGTTGGACTTGGTTAATCTACATACTAAATGGGAATATCGGAAATTCCGTCCAGGTCATGAACCATCGTCCTCTATTGAAAAAGCTGTGAAGTTTTATCGCGTCTCGATTTCAGTCTATGGATTTCCGAATATCCAAAGCAAAAATAGGTCAACAGTACATCGTGTTAGATGTCAGAACGACTGACGGAGGTAGTTTACGATTTAAGGTTTAACTATTCTGCTTGTCTTTTATTAGTTTTATGGCAATACAAAAAAAAATCTTTTTCTATCTTTTTTCTTCTTTCTATTGCATAATAATGGGGTTATTATTTCAACAGGATCCACCAGCTGCCAACGATGGGTTTCGACAATCTGAACTCGCTGGAAACCTTGAATCTGCAGAACAATAAGCTTCAACACATTCCTGAAGAGATCATGGAACCGATACTGGATACTCTGCGAGTAGTTGACATTATGGGTAAGATATTTATGGAATAAAAAAAATCTCCAAGACAATAATACACGTAATAATGCAGTTACAGATAGAAGGTAAGTAGAAGAAGGTACATATCGATGATATAAAGGAAGAAAAAGGATACTCGACTGTTGATAATAGCTTAGTTGAATAAACACGCGACGGTTTTAAATAGGAAATACAATAATAATATTTTATTAATAAAGTCCCCCCGTGACCACTAATAGTATTGTGAAAGCCCGTTTCCCCGTGGGGCATGGGGCTAACAAATTTCTGTACGTTTGACTGATCCGTTTTATTTACTGGCACTTAGTTGATCAGACTTTTATGCCCTACCCTACCAAAACAATTTATTGTTTCCCTGGGATTCGAATCCACGAATTCTCGAGCTTATCATAATGCTAGCATGCTGGCTACACCTAGCCAGCATGCTAGCCTTAGCTACAGAGATGGAAAATAAACAGAGTACGATATTTTTTCTTTTTTTTGTGTATTTATTTAATATAAATTTACATTTTAAATCTACTTTTCGTTTAAGTTCTCAGTTAAAACTTATTAAATTAACTTTGAATGCATTTCGCTTTACTACAGGGAGTTGATAAGACTCGAAATAGACGTTTATGCAATTCTTAAGCAAAATTTGGTCTATGATTAAATTACTCTACGAAAAGCGTTTTAAATTCTGGGCTCAAATGCAGTACAGATGAAGCAAAACGTCTCTTTGAAATAATGTGTCGATACCAGCGTCAGAAACATTTATGTTCTATACCATTTCTTTTAAAATCCTTTTATCTTTGTGTTTTTAGAAAATCTTTGTAATGAAAGATTTCTATGTATTGTTTCTGCTGGGGTTATTACCGACTTTGTGTATCAGAACGACACACAAACTATTTATATATTTGAATGCCTTCTTTAACAACAGTACAAGTGCAGTGTATAACTAAGCGAGTTTATATTAAAGCTTAGCTAAAAACGAAAACTGATTCAAATAGATTCATATCATGCAAAAAAATACCGTGACTGAATTGTATAAAGTAAATTTACAATTTAAACAAACAACACGTGTAAATTCATGTATGTTAGCACTTAGTTTAAAAGTCAATTAAAACTCCGGAGCAAGCGTCGCAATGTTTCATTTTAAAATGTAACTGTTTAAATTTAAATTAATACGAGTTAGATTCAGATTAAGCTCGCACTCAAAGAGAATAGAGAAGTGTTAGGAAACTATTAAAGATAATTACACTTGAATAAATAATGTGATATTCTATTAAACATCTGTTTAGGTTTAAATAAAACACTTTAATGGTTTAAAACGCGATATATATTAGTTAAACGTGGTCTCCCCGTGACCTGCTGCTGCAGAGTATCCGAAACGTCGGGCCGAAGTTAAAATAAGTTTAAATATATATCGCGTTTTAAACCATTAAAGTGTTTTTTTAAACCTGTAAAGTGTTTTATTTAAATGTGTTCTACTCGCGTAAACTACAGACAGTATCTATTTAGGTTGAAAAAACTAAATACCACTGCGTTCCGTGCTCCTCTAACCAAGTAAGCTACCGTGTCCTACACGACATCGTCTTATTTCTTTAACCTATTTTTTCAAACACCTCTCGCAAAATGTAATTTCAATCCCAAAACTTACGTATCAACATCATATGCTTTGTATCCTAAGAAGCAGAGAAAACGCTGTGGATACCGCTCGATGTGCCGTCGGTGTCTTACTTTAAAAAAATCTAAATTGACTTTTAATCTACACGCACATTTGTTTGAAAGCGCTAATCTCAAGAACTACTAGTTCGAATTGAAAAATTGTTTCTATGTTCATTTATCGAGAAGTCTTTAGGACATATGGCATCACGCTGCGACCAATGAGATCAAAGATACAGTGGAAGTTATTGAAAAGACGCGAAAGACTATTCATCTTTGAGGGCTTCTGATGCGTGCGCTGCGAACACGGTTCAAGAAACCAAAATATATGTATAATAGGATGATAAGTCTTTGAATAATTTAAAATAAATGTGCGCGTCAGTAAACGGCGAAAACGGGAAAGACGTAGGTAAAGCCAAAAATAATTATTCTACGCGGACGAAGCCGCGGCCACAGCTAGTTATTAATATAATACTATACAAATAGACATGATGGCGTTTAAAAAATAAGTAAAAAGGATATTGTTGCAACACCAGAAGCAGTTGACACTTGTTGCAAGAGTTTGACTTAGTTATCTCTCATTGCTTCGCAATAACCTTATAATTAATATTTTAACTTCTGTATATGTAATGTCTATCATTTTATATACATTTTAACGCCAACATAATCAATTAATTGACTTTGTATATAACATGCATACATATATGTTTTCTAAATTTACTGCGTCAAACGTAGACAGCGAGCTGAGGTCCAATACTTTACTGATGGCTGATCCCTTTTGCTAGACCTCCACTCACATTAGAATTAGAATCTTAATTATTAATGAGGTGTTATTATTTCTCATCATTGCAGATAACCCTTTGATCTGCGACTGCGATCTAGCCTGGTACGAGTCGTGGCTGGCGGGCCTGCGAGACCGCGACGACGAAATGATGCAAAAGAAACGCACGGTCTGCACGATGGTTAACGAACACCGCGAGTACAGCTTGGCCAAAATGCCCCTCGAGAAAATGAACTGCAAACGGAAACCGGGATACGGCCCATCCAGCGCCGCCCACACTTGCCCCATCCTCGCGATCAACTTCATCGTCCTCGCCACCAGGGGGCTCTAGTAAGTCAATTCGTATCTCAATTTAACCCTCTTCAGTTAGCCGAAGAGCCAAATAAAGCTAGCTGTGGCCGGATAGCTCTACGCCAGCTCTTCGACTTTTTAACGTGATGAATTTGTGCAATAACATATACATATCAATTTTGGGCTGAATAATGTAGAATTTTGGAATGACAACTTGTGATATGGTGGCAAGTTTTTGCGAGTGTGATACACGTATATATAGATTAGGTTCCAAACGGTACGCCTTACTGTAGTGATATTGAGGGCCCAATTCTGCTATTTTTAGCCTCTGGCGAGCGTGTTTCTAGCATGGCTTGGTAATCTACTTAAACCATTGTTGAAAACTAACTTAGACGGTCTCGTTAGTATAGCTAGTAATCAACGGGTCGTGGTTTAGATCCTCACCGGGTCTAAGATGTTCTGAAACATGTTGGTCTTCTGTAATTTTGGATGTTAAATGGGTGGTAGGAATATCGCAAGTCCTGAACACGAACCACCGTGTACACATGAAAAAGCCGTCAAGCTTAATCGCGTTTCGGTTTCAGTGTGTGGGTTTCTGAAAGATAAAAAAGGTCGACATCGCATCTTTTTAAGATATTGTATGGCTTGAGTATTTCACCTGCCATCAAGTGAATCCTGTGGAAAAAACAAGTTCTTATCACTATCATGAAACTGGCGTTTTAACAGGCGTAAGTAAGTCACTCGTTCGTATAATAGCAGAATTGGAACCCTCAGTAAACAGCGATATATCGGAATAGATGTCTAAGCGGGTCTCTAGTTGAATTGTGATGCCATGAGCTAAAACTATCGCGTTTCTTTCTACCTTTATTGAACTCCAAATATAAATCTTCTTATATTTTGTATCGTTTACCCCTAACTTTAATATTGTATACTAAGCTTTTGTGCATTTACCATGTTGACTATTATAATATTGTCATTTTAACGTTTATCTGTATCTACTAAGGCTCTGGGGCTCATCTTTTTATCGCTTTCTATGTCAATGTCAAACAAGACATATTTCGAATCAACTTTCAAGATGGCGCTATGTCTGATTCGAAATTTAAACTACTCAACTGTCATTACAAATGAGCCCCCAATCGTTCGATTTGATGTAGCTTAGTTAAATTCTATACGTAGGTAAGTGTTAGTTTTATCTAAATAAATTATTACTGTTGATAATTTTGTAGCATTTTAAATATTGTAATTTAAAAATCATTTAATTTGACTACGAAACCACTAGTCGAGTCTTTTACGAAGTACGACTAGTGAGGTCTTAGTGGAGTTTTAATTGCGAATTTTTTTATATCAGTTTTTAAGCTTTTAAAGTATATCTTGAAGTTGCAAGGAGGTTTTATAGGTTCCTGAATTTATTAGTTTCGTAGTTATTCATTCTATATTCGTTCTGTAAGCTGTAGGTTTACTGTATTTTATAGAATAGTAATAAATGTGACTGCAAACAGAGCGTGCGGTTTTGTTAACAGCTGTCAAAATAAGCTTCGTAAAACTCTTGCGAAAATTCCTTTGCAATATTCACTAGAAAAATCTTTGGAAAGCCTTCCAAGTGATAAGGTAACGCAAAACATATCCCCTAGTCTGAAATTAAAAATATATTTCTATATACAAGTGTTGGTTCGAGTTCGAAGTGAAATTCTAAAAAAATATTTAGATTTCATTTACCTACGTGATGTTTTGGAATGTTTCGTGAAATTTCAGCGTTGTTCGTGGTTTATACAGAAATATGTTGCGCCTGCCTGACGCGAGATTGAATACCGTTTTGTATTCTTTTCACAGGCGTCAACATATTTTAAGCTTAAATATAGATATATGGCGTAGTGAAAATTATATTGATATTTTTATGAATCATATTATTAGATGGCACAATTTATCATAAAGCACTTAGCATTAACGGATAGTGTTGAGCAGAGTCGAGGAAACCTGATAATTAGGAGGTTACGATTAAACCTCGGATCGATGTTTCTTGTATTTTTCGATATCTGGATGTCGTGATTCTTGTCTATACATTATTTATAAGGGGATGGAGCGCGTCTGTGTTGCGATTCGATGATTCTATAAATCCATTAGGAAGTCATTAGGGGCACAGATTAAGCAATTCATCTTCTATTATCTACTAATTGTTATCTGACGCAAGTACGTACGATATTAGAGCTCTTCATGTAAGTTCACGTTGTGTATTCGATTGTTGTAGTACAGTACTCAAATTCGAATTTTGAAAATAGAACAGATTTTAATAAAATTCGATTACTTACGTGTCTATTTTGATAGCGAAACACAACAGAGGATGGACAAGGGAAAAATGAATAGATTTTTGCTCTCTCCCAAATAAAGCTATCAAGACAGTTAAACGTATAAAATAATATTTATTTCTTAATTATTTTTTTTATTAAATGTGAGAGCGTACATTGTTGTCAAAAATATATTCTAAATATTCTTCTCTGACTGTTGAAAAGTGTCTAAAGCAATGGAATAATTCTGTAACCGTTAAGAAATAACACGGATATCCTAAAGGACCTTATATGCATATCAACTAGTAATAAGATAATATAACTAATATACATTAAGTAAATATAATTATTCTCATCGTATATTCACTGTTATAGCTATTGTTGTGAACGCTTATATAAATGTTTATGTGTGTTAAATGTGTATCTGTGTGTAATTTTGACAGCAATAAATTGTAGTTAAGTGATCTTTTAAATTCGTAACTTTTGCATAGACGTTAATAAATATACAATAGTTTTAAAAATCTATGGGTTTAAGAATCGCAAAATCAACATAATAACAAAGTAGTAGAATGTTTGTCTGTACATGAACAGACACCACAATATCAAGCGACATGAAGAGGACAAAAATATCTGTCTGTTGTTCAATCAAGTGGATTTTTTCATGTATTTAGCTTTTCTTCAATGAAAACTAAACCTACCTAGGTGTACTCTCCACTATACATGGTGTCATTTTTCACATACAATTTAGTTTGACAATTTTCTTTTAAATAAACAATATTTATATGTGCAATTTATATATATATACATTTGAATAACATATGCAATAGTATTGAATGTTAAACCCTTGCTAAGAGACGTGTCTAGAGTCTACAGTCACATTTATTAAGTTACATAAGAATAATCTAATATTGGATGTCGCTGTAAAAATTGTAAACTTTGGTTTTAATAAAAGTTTAAGTATGGTATATTGGTTTTTATTTTAAAGCAATCCTGTTTCTATATTCTATAACATCTATCCAAGATGCATCTAACCTATTTTGGCTTCGGATATTCGAAATTCAAAGACAGACACCGAAACGCGATTAAACTTGGCGAGTTTTTCATCTGAGCCGGACGGAATTTCTATATTCATACTCCCCATTTATTCACATTTCCAGACGAAGTTCCACATGTTTCAGAAAAATACTGTCTATAGTTTACGCGAGTAGTACACATTTAAATAAAACCCTTTAACAGTTTAAAAAGCGATATATTAGTTAAACTTATTTGAAAAATGATGTCTCCCCGTGACCACGGCTGCTGCAAAGCATCCGAAACGTCGGGCCGAAGTTAAAAATCATTTTCAAATAAGATTATGCTTTACAAAATGATGATTTGCATTTTTAGCTACGGCGCGACGTTTCGGATGTTGCAAAGCACAATTTGTAAGGAAATTTAACAAATATATTTTACGTTTTTAACTGTTAAAGTGGTTTATTTAAATACTATATACTTAGAACACTGTATACTCTAGAATAACAAATAATCGTGTTAACATTCTACGGTTCCAGGTAACGTGGAAACTAATAAATGAAGCAATACCGAGACACATGGCTTATTGTTTCCGTTCCGAGCTCTTGAAACGCAATAACGCTATATGCATTTACTGGCATCTGGTTTTGGAATAGTCCATTTGGGGATAAAATTGGAATAAATACCTATTCCCGTACTAAGACTAAAAGCCAAGTATGTTTTAGGTTTAAATAGCTTTTGTTCTTGAATTATAGCTGAGATAAATTGGTTACTTATCCTGGCAACTACAATTAAAAGTAATAAGCCGGAAAATGTTTGCCACTGCCTCCAGTTTGCGACGTATTCGTAACTTCTTACCCGTACCCACCAGAATTGCGCTCGCTCAATCCCTTCTCCTCTCTTCTCTTGATTATGCTGACGTGTGTTTTTCCAACCTACCGACTATTCAACTTGATAAATTGGAACGATAAAAACTACCTAATGTAAACATGGCATATTACCTATGGTAATATACCATGATATGGTATATAATATACCATGGCATATATTATATACTAGCTGTGCCCGCAACTTCGCACGTGTAGAATAGTTATTTGGGTTATTTTTGATTTTTACTGATTATTCAAAGAAGAAAGATGGAAGAAATTGCCATAATTCGTTGATTCACAAACATTTTTATTTAGTTAGATTCCTCATAATTATGAGATTTAATTAAAAATATCGCCGTCTAAAGTGTTCATAGAAGGTACTGAATTATCATTTAGTCCCTCGAGTCCCCAGAAAAAATAATGAATGAAACACACTTTTATGAATACATAATTGTCGAGATCCTTGACCCATTTTTGAGTCAGACCCTTATCTTCAGCGGAGTTACGACCAGTAAGTTTTCAGTTGGGAGCAATAAAATGAGCAGTGAACAACACTGCCATGCAATATTTAAAAGGGCGACTTGATTGCTCGATTGTTATCTAGTGTTTTCAGTCTGTTAGTAGTAAGTCAGTATAATAACGAAAATGTCAGGGTTTTCAATTAAACTTTGAAATTAAAGATTCATTTATTTAAAAAAACACATAATTAACATATAAATTAGATATTTGGAAATTTGAGCATTGTTTCGACAAGCTTTTTTGAGTTAAAGCGAACTTGCTGTACTGGTCGAGCAGCGGTCGGCAATACTTCTATGAAAATCCATGTCTGTTTAGCCGCTGAATAAATTTAAAAATGGAACGATCTTCGACCAAAGAGGTAACTGATCAAAGGTTTAATTTAAATTTCGAACTGGCTTGCACTTAGAAAACTTTTTAGCGATAAAAATACTTTGCGTAAAAAACTATTGTTATTAGTTATTTATCTCACACATAGCGTGTTACAGTTTATGGAAGGTAAAATATGGCAGCAATATAACATATAACACTAACCACGAAGCGTCGTCGACTTATTTTGGCTTTAGATATTAAAAACACACTTCACAAATTTTACTTTACTATATCTGATACGATGGGAATTATAGCCAAGACCTGTTGACTTTTTTATGGAGGAAGAGAGACCATCATAGCGTTCACTCGACAGGAAGGAAATGCACAAGCAATATAACGTCTAACTATGATGCGTTGACTATTATAGATTGTTACTGTACTAAAGAGCCCGTTTATTTTTTAATATGTGGGATACCTACGTGCTATATTCTGAAATTGTATATTTTTCAAAATATCTACGTTATTCTGTACAATTGTTCAATACTTAATTTTCAATTACAGTTATAGTAAAATGTATGCTTTGATAACAAGGAAAAACATTATTCACTTAAAGGAAAAAAATGCCTGTTATTACCAAAGGTTTTTCATTTCACAGAAATTTATATGTGATATCTAGCTATCTCTAATGTCAATATGTGAAATTACTACACTTTAGCTGTAATACAACGTATTATCTTAATCTATACTAATATATAAAACTGAAAAGTTTGTATGTTTGTTTGAATGCGCCAATCTCAGGAACTACGGGATCGAATTGAAAAATTATTTTTGTGTTGCTTAGCACATTTATCGAGAAGGCTATAAAACATGGCGCTGTGGCTAAAAGAAGCGAAGACAGCGGGAAATGTAAACAACACGGGGGAAATTTTTCATCTCTGTGGGTTTCAGATGCGTACGCTGCGAAAACGGTTTAAGGTAACTAAAAAAACATATATCAAAGAATGATTCCCCTGTAAATGATCGAAAAATAGTTCGCGATGTTATATGTTTCTTAAGATTAACTTGATAGATCGACGGGAAGAACGCAATCGACGTCGTGGCTAACAGCTTAAATTTATAAACATTTTAAAGGAATTTGCATGCCCAAAATAAAGATTCTCGCGGGCCAAGTCACTGGCACAGCTAGTATGTAATATTCTGTAATTCAGAGAACATATTATATAATTAGTTACTTAGATCGACATCAGCAATGAAAGTTAAGTAATTTTAAAAATAATAAGTTAAAAAATTTTTAAGTGAGTTCAAATATTTAGTGTTTTAAACCGTTAAAGTGTTATATTTAAACAAAGAAACTCTTCAGCTTTATAATGTCAGTATATATTATATTTAATGACAAAAGCGACATTTTATCTGGCAATAACCCACCCTTGCCCATGAAATTACGACCATTCAATCATTATTGTCGCATAATATTTGCTCAGTAACTTGTTATACGTCCATTAATAGCGATAGTATGCAATCGATCCTTATCAATGGATTATCCGTACTGTGTGTATCAAATCTGTCATTCCGCCAAACTTTCTAGCACTTAACACGTCAAACGAAGTGATTTACGAACACAAGTTTATTAGTAATGATGTCCGAGAAAGAAAATAAAAACTTCATTATGGTTATAAGGTCAGTATATACACAGTTTTTTAGACCACCAAAATGTTACCAAGTAATTTGTTCTCCATTGCAGCTATGGTAATTTTAGGAAAATTAATTTTTCACATGTTATTTCACATTATCTTCGGACGGTGGTTCGTCACCTACGGTCTTACCACTGATTTTATAAATAGATTCCCAAACGAAGTCTACAAGATTCCGAAAAATTAAGGAAAATGGAACTTGTTAGACCCGGTGTGAAACGACCCTACGACCTGTTGATTAGTAGCTATACACACTTAATGAATTAAAGGACTAGTCCAATGACTGTCTAATATTTAAAATTAAAATTGAAATTCCATTTCCTCTGATGAAACATTGAGCAAACACATTTCTGTATCTTTTTCGCTGATCGGTTTTATTAACAGTGCCCAACCCGACCGAAAACAATTTGCCCAACCAACCCAAGACTCGCGCTTAACTCAATGCCAGGCAAGACGTTTAACCATTTAGCTATAGAACCGTCAAATATAGTCATTAAAAATTCTCACAAAAACTCACTTTAAAGAAAAAACGCCGCAAAAATGCTTATAACCGTTTAATTTGTAGAAATGCATCCTGCAGCAAGGGTTGGCTCCGGCTGATAGTCCAAACTTTCTTCGGGATGATCATAGTGGCCAGTTTCACGCTTATTTTGACGATGTCCTTAAAATCACGTCAATTAAGACCAGACCTACTGTCGAGGTGCAGAGTGGACCACTGCAGGGTCCTTTGCTTCGAAGCTCCGTACCTTGACGATTATGAAGATGATATTATTGAAGCGGCCTGGGTACGCAGTTTGATAGCAACAATGAATTTACACCTGATCCGTATTGAGCTTCAAGTTTATAGTAATGTTTGAATCTAATATTAATCTAACCATCTTTAGATTCATATTTAAAAGAAATGACAAAATCTTAAATACTGTCTGTAGTTTACGCGAGCAGCACACCTTTAAATAAAACACTTTAACTTTTAACGGTTTTATATCGCGTTTCAAACCGTTAAAGTGTTTTATTTAAAAGAAAGTATATCCTTGGTGATAGTGCTACAAAGAGGCAGCTAAATTCATCTATAATTTAATTATTGCCGAAATTAAATCATATACACAAAAAATACAACATTTTAACGGTTTCAAATTATGCTAGCTACAATTGCCTATATAGTATCTGCCTGGTTATAGGCATATTTTAACTAACTTCAAGTTTTAAACCGTTAAGTGTTTTAACTAATGAATTGTCATAATGTTTGTATGTGAAGCTTTATCTCTAATGTATTATTTCTTGACAAATATTTTATAAAGCCTTTTTAATACAAACACTTAACAGTTGTTCTTTTCTGAGGTTGTAATATCTTTTCAGCAAGCCAACGCCAACTGTCCACACGTGGTATTGACTCTGAATCGACCATTGTTTACAAACGCGACTCTAACTCCACGCTGGATGTCTAAAATTCGCTCAAACATCAACGAGCTGGCGATCATAGGCGGCAACTTAAAACACATACCAACAGGTGCTTTTAGTACCCAATTAGCTAATAATCTTAACACTCTGATTCTCGAAAACATAGAAATTTCCAGTTGGGGTCCGGAGACGTTTGTGGGTTTATCCAGCCTTAAGCAACTTTACATCAAAGACTGCGTGTACAACAATATATCACAAAACGCGTTACAAGCAGTAGATGACACTTTAGAATTCTTGGATATAAAAGCCAACTTCTTGTGGAACCCCGTCAGCTTCACTGGATCAGCAGACCTTAGGAGATTAGAGACTGTTGACTTTTCGTCAAATCCATTCTACACCATACTTGACAGGACAAGCTTTTCAGAACTACGTGTGTGTAAGAAACTGTTCTTGAACTCTTGCCGTATTAACTTCCTCGGACCCGGTACTTTCGACGCCCTGGATCGAATCGAGAAGTTGTATCTACATGATAATTACTTGATCATCATACCTGACGATCTTTTCGGTAAAGTCATACCGCGCAGACCAAGAATCACCCTCCAGGATAATTTATGGTACTGCAACTGCTCCCAGTCAATCATACGCGACTTGGAGGGTCTTTTAATTGTTGACCCCATTTGTAGATACCCTGACAGTTTCAACGGTGTCACCTTTTCAGAATTCAGGGGTCAATGTGAAATGAAGAATAGTCCTGAGTTACCAGAAATCGGTCATGAGAATATCTCGTCTACGTGCTACTCAAGGAACGATACAAAAACATTTCATATAAATGGTGTTTGTCACAACTCAACTTGTGAAGTGCACAAAGTGACATCCCAGAATTATTATTGTCGTTTGAACACTTCAGACATGGCTGACATGACAAGGGCTATTATATCGAAGGAACATCCATTAGTGGACGGTAGTGACTGGTTGAGCTTATCGTATTCAGTGAGAAGTAATCATCAACTGATCGTCGAGCTGTCATCGAAGAATGCACTGGGCCAGGGATTACTCTGGTTTGACTCAACTTGTCCAAGCGAAATCTACTGTATGAATGCAGTTCCCGATGTGTTAAGAGTTTACGACGAACGAATAGAAATTCAATACACGTTCTGTCCGTTCAATTCGCTGACTGGTGAGATTAACCCCGAACAATGTGTCTTCTACAGCCTCGCTGACTTAGACAATACTGTACTAAAAACCCACGACCTGCTATTGATAATAGGATTCACAATTCTATCGATAGTATGCCTGATTTTTGGCGCTATCTGCGTCTATGCTCTAATCCAACGCAACCCTCACCTCTTAAAGGGAAACAAACGAATACTATTTGTAAAACATAAAGAAATAAACGCACTGATCCTTCCACCAAAGGTGCCGTTACGCAAAAGTATAGACGACACTGATTTAAGAGACAAGATCGAGAAAAAGATATTCTTCGTGTCGACTCATCACGAGAGCCTATCGAACGTTGAAAGATCATACACGAGCAGCAATGAAGTGAGCTACATATCAGCATTGCAACCGACAGACGAACAATTGGAGCAGTGGAGAAAGAAGCAGAACGACTTAAAGAAGCAATACAAGTCACTGACATCTGAGGTGTACCAATTCTCCAATATTTTCGATACTGAATCGCTACCATATTATTCGTTGAGCGAAAGAATCTACGATACACCTAACGTTACTAAGAATTAGAAGTTCTTGCGCTGAATCCATCAATCACTTGTTAAAATCATAAATCATGTTATTAAGAGGTACAAGTAGGTTTAGGGTTTAAAGACGTTTAAAATATTTACGTCGTCTACGTGCTCACCGAGTGAATCGATTCGTACAGTTGTTTCTGACATATTGTATACTGTCTTGAGTGACGTCAGATCTATTTTAATGACTATATCAAAAGCAACTGTAGCTTTGAAACGTTATTAGTGAACATCGGTCTATTAGATCTCTTGGCACATTGATGTTTCTCTGTTCCTGTTGTTAATATAATATATTGTTGGGAGAGATAAACTGTGATGTAATAGATTTATAATGATTATAATGTAATTGACGAGTACATTATAATCATTATAAATCTATTTAAAATCTATGTACAGCTGAAGATTTTGTTTGAACGCGCTGATCTCAGGAACTACTAGTTCGATTAAAAAAATATTTTTGTACTCGTTAGAGTATATATTGAGGAAGGTCGCTGCAACTAATTGGAACTAAGAAACAGCGGGAAATGAAAAAAACGGACGTCGTGGATAACAGCTCTAATGGCTGTTTGCAAAAACTAATTTTGATGTCCAAAATAACTAATCTACGCTAACGAAGTCGCTGACATAGATAGTAATTATTATAAATGCACTGTTAGAAATTATTTTGCGTTTTAAACCGTTAAAAGTGTTTTATTTAAATGTGTATTACTTGCGTAAACTGCAGACGATACAGGTGTAGGTGGCAATACTATCCCTATTACTTTTAAATAAATATTAATTTAAGCTGGAGACGATGTATGATTTTACAGTTCCATTAAAATATACTATGAATTACAAGAACTGACAATAAATTCTCCTTCAATTATCTTTCCAATTCTTCTGAATTATGTTTTCTTCGTCTTTCCATATTTTATTAATCTTAAAAATATCCTTTTACCTAAATAAGGTTTATTTATTTGCACAAAACTAACCAAAGCGAAAGTCAAAAGCAGAAGCGGTCTTTGTAACTTGCGCAAACATCGTTCGTAGCGTATTTGAGCTGCAGAGAAAACCTATTACATACCTAAATATTTACACTCGTCGTTTATTGCAAGATCTTTTATAATACTTACGTAAATAAAAATAGACTGTATTGATACATATTTTAAAATTAGAGAATGGAAACACTTGGTCTGTTTATTTTCTATTATAATTAGAAAGTAAGTAATATAAAAACAATAAAAAAATATCAATATATGCATTTATTTGCCTGCATGTCTTTACTCAGACGCTTATATTGATTACGTTTTTCCCGGTATTCGACCGGTATTGTTTAACACAAAACAAGCCAGTACATTGAAAGTTGATGGAGGTAGGCGTAAAGAAACATACATACATTTTCTTAACTAAATTAATTTTACACTTATACAAACTAGTATCTAAGTATTTGCGCACAAAGAGAAAAAGAGAACTGTGCTTTATATAGCAAATTTATAGATACATTTATACTTAGTATATCATTTTCTGAAAATTAAAACGAATTTTAATTCGAAAGAAACAAAACACAATCAAACAGTAATCTATAAAGCGAATCCATGGTTAGAGGCACCGGATTTACGCCCCAGGCATTTTTCCTCAGTCCTTATTAGCCACAGTGAAGAGTTAGTTTGTTAGATTAAATGCGCTAATCTCAGGAAGTACCGGTTCGAATTGAAAAATGATTTTTGTGTTGGTTAATGCATTTATCGAGGAAGGTTATACCTTATAAATCGCGCTGTGACTAATAGGAGCGGAGAAACAGCGGGGAAGGTGAAAAAAAAGTAATGTCTTTCATTTAAGATTAACGCGCAAAAACGACGGGCCGCGATCGAGGTTGTAGGGAAGAGCTTAAATTTGTGAAGATGAAGAGGAGTTTTGCAAAAACAAATTCGGATGCCCAAGATTCTTCGCGGACGAAGTCGCTGACACAGCACGCAATAGATTCGGGCATAAAAATATATAGATGTAGAAATCGACAGTACGTACAGTCACAAACAACCGTACTAGGTACAGTCGCATAATTAATTATATAACACCTGTACAATCAATTAGATAAAAGGTCGGCCATTTGGTGTTGTCTACGACGTACAGTCGCGTGCCAAAACAGGTAGACGCCGCAAATGACATAATCGTCAGACAACGGAACATGTGCGGCTATTAGCTGCGCTGAATGCAGCTACCAAGGTCAAGGGTTCCGCTAAAAATAAAGGGTTGAAGCGCTGAAAGAGTTATTCATTAATCCTTGATAAATACTATTTATTTTAATAGCCCTACATTAATATAAAAATCGAAAATAAATTAAAAAAAATTTCGACTCGGGCAGGACTTGAACCGGCTTCGTCAGCTTTCCGTGCATGCAAGTGTTAAGGTTGTAATTACATTGCGCGAGAGGTGCATGTATCAATAAGTTGAAAAAATTCGACGATGAGGTGTAGGACTCGGTAGCTCAATTGGTAGAGCAACAGCACGGAAAACTGACGATGCCGGTTCAAGTCCTGCCCGAGTCGAAAATTTTTTCAATTTTTTTTCGATTTTTAATTATATAGTGCCTTCACGTGCAATAACATGTGAAAAATATTAATGTTTTCAAGCCCTACATTGCTTTCTTGCGCCGAATATTAATTTTTAAGTAGCAAATAAATAAACGATTAAATTAAAGAAACTCGATTCATTCAGTACGTAACAGGCATCTAGTTAATCAGACTTTTTCTATGATAAAGAAAGAGACAAGCATAGGGTCTAATTGATAAAAGCTAAAATACCCCATATAACATCCTGTCCACCTATATTGGAACTGCGAAAATCCACCTCTTCGGAAGAATTGTAAAATATAACTTTGTATTAAATCACAAATCGATATTTACAGAAAACTAATTAGCCTACTTTGCATTGTACGACAAACATAATTTATCATGAATATTCATAAAAAAATTAACACGTTAACGAGCGGTGCTATATTCAATAATATTTATAACCACATACTTTATCACTTATTTTTTCAGTAGGTAAATATTTAAAAGGGTAACAACCCCTGAGTTGTTGTAAAACTAAAAATTAAAGAACCTAGCTCGTAAGCTCAACCTGAACTATCAAGATTTAGCATATAAGGGGTTATCCATTCACCAAAAACTCTATTTGGTATTATAAAAACACAGCAGATAAAACCGATATAGCCTAACGGTTAAACGTCTTGCTTTATACACGGAATATCCTGGGATTGAATCCTAAATGGGGAATCAAAAATACGATTAAGTCTGTTAATTTTTTTTACAACAAAGTGTAATTAATTTATACTAGTGTGTGGCTCCGCTGTCCACACTCTAAGGCTTACTGAAAATCAGTAACAGCACACAATATTCGTATATATCTTTGTGTTGCTTAAGTTAAAAAAAAATATTCTTCTATTCTTTCTTTTTTCTTTACTAAAGTTTAAGTACTAGTAAAATGTTCGCCCCATACCCCGCAAGGGGAATCAGGATTTCACTATTGCACAATATTTTAGTCGGTGTTTTAATAAACTCACATAAAACGTGTTTCAACGCGTGATAAATAAATTCAGTCGGTCCAAATTATATTCAGTTGCAATTTCAACAGAATGAAAATATAAAACGCCGTCGAAGCTATAACTGGGAGTGTGTCGATTCCCCGTTTCAACTTCTCAAATATCAAACGTGCACCTGAAACTCTTCTGGCAAACAAATATTGCTCTTGTTTGCGCATAGGTGCCATAAAATAACTTTAAAATCGATCGTCTTTTATTTTACGGTCGACAATACTGTCGGAATGAAATCATCTGTAGATAAACGTGGGTGTATGTATCTCTGGAAAGTGTTTATAACGATGATAATAAAATGTGCATTCGAAATTTAACTGGTAACTGTACCAGTTAAATTTCGAATTTACTACTGAGTAGAACATAATATTTTTCGTATGAGACACCGAAAGGAAACTTCGAAGTAAACAGAAACTTCTACAGAAAACCAGTCCTTGCACTCTATTATAAAAATATATTTATTTAAATAAAACACTTTAACGGTTTAAAACGCGATACATATGTATATTAGTTAAACTTATTGGAAAATGATTTTTAACTTCGGCCCGACGTTTCGGACGTCTCCCCGTTTTAAACCGTTAAAGAGTTTTATTTAAATGTGTACTACTCGCGTAAACTATAGACAGTATTTAATATATTTAATTAAAAAACAATAAGTTCTATTTACACTATATTACTGTCCTAGTCTATTTATATCGTTACATAAAACTTTTGTTGTTAAAAACAAGTATATAATTTAACTAATTTTAACCCTACATTGTGATGCGTCACAAATCTCCGAGAATAAAGAACATTAAAAATTTAGGAAGAATGCTAAACTCTAGATGATTATGTCCTGATAAGTTTTGAGATTTTTTTCTATCAAAATAAAACTGTAAATAATACAAAGAAGCAAATAATATAAAATAATATGTTTATACACAAATAGCTATGTTTGTATGAACAAAAACTAAAGATATATAACGTAAGGAATATTCCTTACGTTGTATATCTTTTACGTGTCTCATAAATATATTTACAACTTACATTATTTTGATTAAACAGGAAACTCCGATAAGAGTAATTGTATTGTCCCAGCTGTGGGAACTATCAAAATATCTAAACAATTTTAAAGACACGAATAACAAACAGTTACAACTAAAATTAAATGTGTAAATTTCCAATAAAATCACCATAAATCATGACCGACAATAACTCAAAGAAAATCATCTATTTATATATTAAATATTTGAACTTCGGCCAAAGTTGCAATTATAATACACTTTATCTTAGACATCCAAACATTAATTTCATTTCGATTTTAGCTTATTTTAATCAAAACACAACATAATAGACTCCTAAAAGGTATGAAGCGTATATGGATTTCGGTTCCAGTCTGTGGATTTCCTAACGTCGGAAGCCAATGGATAGACAACGTATCTTAT